CCATTTCAGCTCACTGATGCCTAGGATATTGATCTTTATGTGTTCCATTTCATTTTTGACAACTTCCAATTTTCCTAGATTCATACTTCATACATTCTATGTTCCGATTATTAACAGATGTTTGCAGCTGTTTCTCCTCAATTTGAGTCATGCCATCTAAGCAAATGTAGGTACCAAAAGCTTTACTTTATCCATATCATTAAGGTTGGTTTTACTCTGATGAGGCAGCTCTTTCCCAGTCATATTTTGAGAGCCTTCTGACCTAAGGGGCTTGTTTTGCTGCACTGTATCGGACAATGTTTCCGGGCTATTCATAAAGTTGCCCAGTAATGATTCTCTGCTATTCATAGGTTTTCCCTGGCCAATAATTCTTTGAGAAGTGGATGGCCTCTTCCTTCTTCCTAGTCTGTCTCAGCCTGTAAGCTGCATTGAAACCTGTGCACCATGTACAACCCTGCTGGCATTTGAAAGACTGGTGGCACAGCCTCAAGCCTTACAGCAACATACAAGCCACCACTGTATGACAAACTGACAGACAAGTTTGTCTCCCTTAGTTGTTTGAAACCTCTCCACCCTCTTCTTACCTGGATCCTGCTACTTTGGTGTCCCCAGCCTTCCCTCCTTCCTGCCTCTTGGGTGGGGCCCCTCCCTTCCCTTACCTGGATCCTGCCACTTTATCATCTTCGGCATTATATGTGGATTAAACATATAAATACTTTTAAATCAGGGCTTTGAACCAGTTCATTCCAGTTGGAGCCCCTGCTAAGAAGTTGCATTTCCATCTCACATATACTGAATCAATTTACATTTTAGCAGGGTCCCAAGGAGATTCTTATGTATAAGAATCTATAAGGATCTTCAAGAACCACCTGAGATTTGGTCAAAATGTAGATTCTGATTCAGTATCTCTGGGGTGGAAATGCAAATTCTTAGCAGTGGGTCAAATTGGCATGAACCTGTTTGAAGTCCTGTTTTAAATCCATGAGCTTGCAATGATACTAGTAACAAAATAAAACACACAAAAACTCCTGATCCAAATCATGATTTTGAAAACTAATAAATAAGAGGAAAGAACCAAGTATTTTTCCTGCCTTTCCTATATGAACTGTTCTTTTGGGTTGTCAAATAATTGTTCAAGGAATTTCTCTTCATAGAAGTATTTCAGATTATAATTGAGAAAGGAATGATGGAATTAGAATATCATCATTTTTACATCCAGTAAGTTAATGAGTTCAGGCAATGATCATTAATGGAAGGAGGACTGAGCAATCTACTTCCATAGAGATACCACCTCAGAAACCCAAGGACAGGTCGCTATGAGTTGGATCCTGCTTGACATCAGTGAGTTTGGTTTTTGGTTTGAGCATCACAAAAGGGGAAACATTAGACATTGTGTGCCTAATAATGGAAAATGTATTACCATCTATGAAGAAGTCTTGCCTAAAAATTGGGCCTGAATCTGATTCTATTATTCTTAACTACCTATGCATGGAAAATACAAGGGAGAGAGGGACAATTTAAATTCCAGGGATGCAATCACTAAATTTCAGACTGTTATAAATTCTATTAGATAGGTGACCAGCTTCTTTTGTAAGTAAATTGCAAGGAAAGAGAAATGCATCAAAGAGACTTGAAATTAATAATAAATTGCAACATGGATTTTATATAGATCGTAATTTAAACAAATTGACTACAAAAGAAAGAAGGAAGGAAGAAAGTAAAGAAGGAACCATCAAAGGAAGGAAAGAAGGAGGAAAAACTACCAACAGGGGAAAGTCAAACAATCATTTGATAAGGAGTCATAGTTACCATTTTTTTCAGGTTGATATTTGTGTTGTAGATGTTTTTAAAAAATCTTTTAGAGTTATCTCCTGAAGTATTTATAGATGAAATATCTGCTTCAAAACAATACAGGGGCTTGGAAAGAGTAGAGATGTGGATGAAATAAGATTAGCCAAAGTTCATAATTGTTGCAGTTGGTGATGGGCACATTAGGATTTATTACTGTTTTCTCTTTCTTGTTTTTTTTGTTTTAATTTTCCAGAACCATCAAATGATCTATTGTAGTTATTATAAAATTATTTCTGTTTGGGTATGAAGCTGGTATAGGTGTTATCTAAAGTCACTGCCAATTTGATAATTCTTGGAGTGGATGAAAATAAAATAATTCCCAACAATGTCAGTGAATCTAATCGGAACATGGTACCTGAGCTACATAATCCCTCTTAGGGCTGTTTTCCCACGTGGTCCTATAAAAACTTAGAATTATTGAAGACTAACTAAAAATAGAGGAGCTCTGGTAGCATAGTGCCTAAGGCACTTGACTGCTAACCAGAAGGCTGGTGGTTCAAACCCACCAGCCACTCCTTGGAAGGAAGGTTGGGCATTCCTACTTTCATAGTGATAGTGCCTCAGAAACCCAAGGAGGGGTCGCTATGAGTTGGGGCCGACTCGATGGCAAATAACAACAACAACAACAACAACTAAAAATAGAAGAGATCATATTATATTTAACTTAGGAAAAAAATAATATGAAATCTGTACCAACCTCTAAATGTCATCATATTTTCAGTAAATGAGCTGATCAGGACTCGTGCACCAAAAGATTCTTTGACCCAACCTGGGTAATCTTGGCCTACTATTTTGATATTTCTACTCAGTATCCCAACATCAGCTGCCAGTGTATAGCTCTGACCTGTGCCAGGAACATGGTACTTTTGAGCTGCAACAGAAGGTCAGCTAAATTAGTACCAATGCTGAAGAACCCCTGTCTTTATTAGATTCTTTGCAGGTCATAAGATAAAGAACTTTCAATTAGTCCAAAAGTCAACACAAATACATGAATTGATTAAATTTGCATGTTTAAACACAGATAGATGTCAGACTGAAAGTGTGGTATCTTTTAATTTATAAACTGAAATAATACAACAACAAAAAAAAAATTATTCTGTTTATACCTGGAAGCTTGCCTAAAGCAGAGAGTACCAAGTCTTACCTCAGAAAATGTGGTATAGTAGGTCTGGGGTGGTGCCCAGGAACCTGCCTTTTTATATCTCCCAAATGTTCCCCTCCTGCCAGTCATTTTAAAGCAGTGGTGTGGCAACTGCCCTTGTAGAAAGACTGCTTTAGAGTACCATTTTCCTAATTTGTTTCTATATGGCACATTTCTCAATCACAAATGCATGAAGGATCGTGCAGTTCTGCACAGTAAGTTCTGTCTCGTGAAATAAGCTAAGTCACATGGAAGGTTATGAAGCTACATATTAAACTGAAGATTTTTCAAAGAGCCATTCTTGAAAACTAAGTGGAAAAGAGTTACCTTGCTAAATAAAGAAATATTTGTTTTCTTTGACTCAAAACATCTCTTTATACTATGTAAAATTCAGAAAGAGTCAAATAAACATATGTATATCTCTACTTCCCAATTTCTAATACAGATTGGAGACAAAATACATTTTTAAAAACCTTAGTTCATTTTACTCAATCAATTACTAATTCACCTTTCAGCTGAATCATTATCATCAAGAAAAATCACAATAATCCAAGTCTACAAATCCTTTTCAAAGTGATTGATTGAAATTCTAATTAAAAAGCTAGTTCTTTGCCTTCAAGATAGAACCTTGGTAAATCAAAAGAAAGGGCAAAGTAATTCAATCAATATTTATTGAACATTTACGATGAGACTGAGGCATGTTTGTGCTCTAAAAATGATTACAGTTCAATGTAAGAGATCAATGAATAAACAGATATTTACAGTGCAGTTCTGTAAATAAAATGATGAATAGCAAGGTAAGGAACACATTAGCTTTGCTTCTGCTCCCTGGCATGTTGTAGTAACTCTGTATTTGCTGAAGGAATAAATGCATCCTGTAGGGACTATTAGAAGTTGGCACATAACTAGTAATGGTACTAGCAGTGGTACCAGTGCAAATCTGAATGTAATGTTCCTCTGAAATATATTTGTGACATGTCTTATCAAATAATTTTAATTAAGGAGTAGAACATTAGAAATGTGAGTATTTCAAGACATTTTAATTATTCACCTATTTGGTAAAGAGCAGCTACTTACCCAGGTGAGTATAGGAAAGAGTATCATTGAGAATGAGAACTTTGTGATCATGCAGGACTTTCGCAATTCTTTTGGTTTCTGTCTGCTGGAAATCATAGCTTGTGGTTGTTATCACAATCTCTTCACCCTCCTTAAAAAATTCCAGTGCCAAATTCAAGAACAGTTGTTTAAATAAGTTTCGATTTCTTAGTAATAACAATTACATAATTTCCATTTAATTTATGCCTGATTAACAATCGTGGTATTACAAAAAAAAAAAAAAGAATATACTGTACATTTAGAATATAAATATACTTGTGTTGTTGTTGTTGTTATGTGCCATCGAGTTGGACCCGACTCATAGCAACCCCTCCTTGGATTTCCGAGGCAGTATCACTACGGAAGTAGATTGCCCCATCTTCCTTCTGAGGAGTGGCTGGTGGGTTTGAACCGCCAGCCTTCTGGTTAGCAGTCAAGTGCCTTAGGCACTATGCTACCAGAGCTCCCCCATACTTGTGTTCGATATTAACAATTATAAGTTTTGAATTGTATCTGCATTTTCTTAAATTTATCATTTAAAGCAATTGTAGCAATATGTATTTTAAAATTAAATATATCAAAGCAAATATTAAAAACTGGTCAGGATGTATTCTTAATACTTGATGTTTTAAAATCAATTTCCTTTGCAAAATTAACTATCATTTGATAATTCTGAAAGGTGGGAAAGGCAAAGCAAAGTTAAAGGGTAAGCCCAAGACCTAGTATCTAGTCTTTGTATATTAAGCTCCTTCTTGTCATCCATGTCTCTGCTCAAACGTCACACTTTCAAGAGAGACTTTCTCTGGCCACTGTACTTAATGTTATCTACCACTTCTACCCTGACATGCTCTGTCACACTACCTGCTTTATTTCTTCCATCACATGCATGTACAATCTGTACACATATTTGTTCATTTAGTCTGCCTCTCTGATATGCAGTTGGCATTAAGAAAATATTAACTGGATAAATAATAGGATATTGGAATCCTTTATTTAATTACTCTCTCTTAAAAAAAGTAATCACACTTGAACTATCATAATTAAGAATATATTATAAATAGATTATAATACAACCCAATAAATTCTCCTCCTATTCATCAATTTTTAACTACCTTAGGAGAGCAAAGCCATGTATTTTGATGATTTGTATTGATTTGTTCAGACTAAGGCTTTCTTAGATATGGAACCCTAAAGCTCAGCTTCACCAGCAGAAACCTAGCTGAGGTCTGAGAGACTAGAAATACAATTCATCCATTTTCCTGATCCTTTGTCATTAAAGAACATACTGGTAAAACGTGGTATCTATGCCCTGTATCTGTTCATGAATATAATATGGGTGGGAATTGCCACTATTCATATTTTACCAAAATCTCTCATTTAATGAGGCATTAAATACCTCTGGGCATCAGGATTTGTTTCTTTTCCAAATTCTTAAAATTTAAAACCGCAAAGTGGAAGCAAAAAGGTAACCAAGATAACAATAAAATATATTCTTATTTTCTGTTTTGTAATAAAACATTTTTCACCCAAAACAGTGATACTTTTCTTTCATGACTAGTATATACATAATGAGTTTCATATATTCTGAAGGACATGTGAGACCACAGTATTTAAATAATTGTTATCAGGTCAGCTTTCTGAGTGCAAACTGATTTTAAAATACACCTTTCTCACTTGATTAATCACTTGAGAAAGCAAATGCCATCTTTTTAAGCTGACCCACTGGGTAGGACTTGCGACCACATATTTCCTTTACCTGCCAATCCACAGTATCCATCAGAGACAGGACTCTGGAACCCGCCTCTGCGGTTTCTGAGAGCTTCGTTTTATATTTTGAACGTGGAATTCCATGAAGATCCAGCTCACCAAACACCCCTGGATGAGAAAAACATGCTCCCATTTATCCACCACACACTATTGGGTTAGGTGCTAGGATAAAATGAATCCGTTCTTTGATACATTTTAATAAGCAATTGAATTTTTAGCATGAATGTGTGAATTGGGGTTATCTGCTCATAGGCTATATAAGGAAGCTTTGACCCTTTGACCCACTACTAGGAATCTGGTCCATAGAAATCAAAGCCAATGCATAAGAATACATGAATGAGGATGTTTACCACTGCCATGTTTAGAAAGAGAAAACAAATCCAAATGTACATCAATTGGGAAATGATGGAATAAACTATAGTGTATTCATACAGTGGAGTATTATGCTATAAAATGGTAACTTTAATCTATAAGAATTGATCTGAAAGATGTCCATAATATGGGGAGTGGGGAAAGATACATAATAATATATTAAGTTTGACAGTGATTTTTAAAAGGAAGAGTCCTATTACAATATATCAATATGCATGATGTGAATGTCAGCACAGTTAAAAAGCATGGAGACCTGTGAAAACGCTTCCCCAATGTCATTTTCCTCAAGGGGGCAAAATTGGAATGGGTGCATATTTTTTTCTTGATATTGCTCTGTGTTGTTTGAAGTATTATTATTATTATTTTTTAAATGTATAAAAGAAAAAAATATATATTTTAAGATTAAGTTTGTCTGCCTCAGGATGATGCCAGTAGAGAGCTGACTTACTATTGATCCATTCTTTAATTCCCTTATTTACTGAGTGCTTGTATATGTCTTCTAAATTAATATGCAATACTGTTAATTGAAGGAGTCTTGGTGATGCAGAGGTTAAGCACTTGGCTGCTATTTGAAAGGTTGACTGTTCAAACCCACCAGGTGTTATATGGGAGGAAGACATAGCAGTCTGCTTCTGTAAATATTTACAGAGTTGGAAATCCTATGGGGCAGCTCTACTCGGTCCTATAGGGTCTCTATGAGTTGGAATTTGACTTGACAGCAATGAGTTTGGTTTTGGTTTAGTACTAATTAGTTAAATGAGAACAAATCAAAACCTTCCAGGCCCTTTACTTTCCAAGGTCAATAGGAATATTTATGACTATAGCAATGCAACTGGGAAATTAAAGCTTGTGTTTGGGTAACTGATAAGAAATTGGATAATAACTGTTTAATTGGAAATTAAATGCTTGTGACTGGATAACTGATAGCAAGGTCAACTGACCAACAAGATTGTTTAATACTGTAAATACAATAATATGTAGGAAAGTTTTCTTTTCAGGAGAAAAATCACTGAAATATGAAAAGTATTATTATTTATATAGGGAAATGATTATGGAAATAAGATCAGAAAAACAATACACTTATGGAGAAATATGTTAATAAATTGACTTTATAATGAATTATAGTTTGGTATACAATATATACATCTATACAACTATAGTAATGTCACATGATTTAATTTTTAAAATGTCTTTTTTTTTTTTTTTAGCATTCTTTACTATAAACAAATATCCGCAAAAGTTTCTGATACCATAACATCATGAAGTGATAACAAGGACTTTGCTACTATAATTTGGATTATCAAAACTGATATGACACTTTGGGTGCAGGGAGACACATACCTAAGACCTTTGACCCTTGATTTGGTCCTTCTGGTAGAGTCCAGTCTGGGGTAGAATGATTTCCTCTAAGTATAATCTGTAGTTCTCCTTTAAAAGGGTTATCCTCCCAGCCACCAATTAATCTACCTCCCTGCAGAAGTGAAGAAGAAAACTGTTAACACTTTAAAATTGAGCAGAAAAAAATTCCCCTATTAAAAAAGGAATTAAGAAGTCACTGGTAACCTCCTCTAGTAAAAATGAATGAATTTTGTCATAATATAGAGAACAGAGAGAGTTATAACTTACACATTCATTGTGGGTTAAGCAGTACCAATAACTTTCCCAAGATTAAATTTAATACCTCCTAAGATCTAAAGTAACACTTGTTAAACTCTGCATTTTAAGATACGATACCACATCATATTTTTGGGAGCCCTGGTGGCGTAGTGCCTGAGGCACTTGACTGCTGACCAGAAGGCTAGCAGTTCAAACCCACCAGCCGCTCCTCAGAAGGAAGACTGGGCAATCTACTTCAGTAGTGATACTGCCTTGGAAACCCAAAGAGGGGTCACTATGAGTTGAATCCAACTCAAGGGTGATGAGTTGTTGTTTTTTTTTTAATACCATATCTTAGACTCTTCACACTTGCATTCAAATTATCCATTTATGAGCCATCATTGCTAATAATCATTGTTGTTGTTGTTGTTATGTGCCATCGAGTGGGACCTGACTCATAGCGACCCCTCCTTAGGTTTCTGAGGCAGTATCACTACGGAAGTAGATTGCCCTACCTTCCTTCCGAGGACTGGCTGGTGGGTTTGAAGCACCAGCCTTCTGGTTAGCAGTCAAGTGCCTTAGGCACTACACTACCAGAGCTCCCAATAATCATAATAGCTATCATTTAAATATTTATTGACACTATGTCAGGCATAGGAGCTCTGGCAGAGCAGTGGTTAAAACATTCGGCTGCTAAAAGGTCAGTGGTTTGAACCCACCAGTCACTCAGTGAGAGAAACATGAGGTAGTCTGCTTCCACAAAGATTTAAATCCTGTGGGGCAGTTCTGCTCTGTCTTTTGGAGTCATTCTGAGTCAGATTCGACTAGATGGCAGTGGGTTGGATTTGGTTTTTAGGATGCCAGGCGTAACATGTAAGATTTTACATATATTATCCCATTTAACCTTAGCATTAAACCAATGCATTGGAATTATTATTCTCATTTCATAGATGAGAAAACTGAAGGTGAAAGATGTCAAAATTTACCTAAGGTTACCCATCTAATAAATAGTGAAGTAAAGATTCAATGCCCAAGCATCTAACTAATGGACTCCATGCCTTTAAAGCATTAAAGACCTAATCTGGACTTTATCATTATGATCAAAGAGAAACTACTAAATACTTTTTAATAATATATTTTTGGCTAAGCTATTCTTTTTAATGAACAATAATCAAAGACTGATAATAATAAAGACTAAATAATATAAATAATTAAACTGATTAAACAGTTACATAAACCATCCGAGGTTTATGAGAAAATAAGGTGATTGTTCTAAAAATTAAAACATATTTATTATTCTGCTCCTGCTTTCATAATTCCATTGATGTCAGTTTATTTTAAGAAATATTTTTCATTTCCTTTTTTGAAACAAAGGCTTAGTTTTTTTTTGTGTTTTTTTTTTTTAATATTTGCCAGCCCTCCTGAGAATTCTTGGTTTTTTGGAACAAAGTGTTACTTTAGCTTCACCTACCTATAACACAAAGTATTCTGTGTAGAATCAAAACATTCAATTCAATGATAATTACTCCTTGTTGTTGTTGTTAGGTACCCTTAAGTCCACTCCAATTCATAGTGACCCTATGTACAAAAATGAAACACTGCCTGGTCCTGCACCATCCTCACAATCCTTGCTATGCTCGAGGTCATTGTTGTAGTCACTGTGTCAATCCATCTCATTGAAGGTCTTCTCCTTTTTTGCTGACCCACTACATTACCAAGCGTGACATGCTTCTCCAGGGAATAGTCCCTTCTGACATGACCAAAGTAGGTGAGACGAAGTCTGGCCATTCTTCCTTCTAAGGAGCATTCCAGCTGCACTTCTTCCAGGACACACTTGTTTGTCCTTCTGGCAGTCCATGGTATTTTCACTGTTCTTCAACAGCACCACAATTCAAAGCCATCGACTCCTCCTCAGTCTTCTTTAGCTTTTACATGCATATGTTGTTGTTGTTGTTGTTGTTATGTGCCATTGAGTTGGGCCCGACTCATAGCAACCCCTCCTTGGGTTTCCCAGGCAGTATCACTATGGAAGTAGATTGCCCAACCTTCCCTCCAAGGAGTGGCCAGTGGGTTTGAACTGCCAGCCTTCTGGTTAGCAGTTAAGTGCCTTAAGCACTATGCTACCAGAGCTCCTACATGCATATGAGGCAATTGAAAATACCATGGCCTGGGTTAGGTGTACCCTAGTCTTCAAAGTGACGTCTTTGCTCCTTAACATTTTAAAGAGGTCTTTTGCAGCAGATTTGCCCAGTGCAATATGATGTCTGATTTCTTGATTGATGCTTCCATGGGTGTTGATTGTGGATCCAAGTAAAATGGAATCGCTGACAACTTCAATCTTTTCTCCATTTATTGTGATGTTGCTTATTGGTTCATTTGTGAGGATTTTCATTTTTTAAATGTTGAGATGTAATCCATCCTGGAGGCTCTAGTCTTTGATATTCATGAGTAAATGCTTTAACTCTTCTTCACTTTCACCAAGCAAGGTTGTGTCATCTGTGTATTACAGGTTGTTATTGAGTCTTCCTCTAATCCTGATGCCATGATGTTCTTTGTATAGTCCAGCTTTTCAGATTATTGGCTCAGCCTACAGATTGAATAAGTATGGGGAAAGGATACAACCCTGATGCACTTCCTTCCTGATTTTAAACCATGCAGTATCGCCTTGTTCTGTTTGAACAACAGCTTTTTGGTCTATGTACAGGTTCCTCATGAGCACAATTAAGTGTTTTGGAATTCTCATTCTTCACAATGTTATCCAAAATTTGTTATGACATAGACAGTTGTGTGCCTTTGCATAGTCAATAAAACACGGCCACCAGTATTTCAAATACCAGCTAGGTCACTCATGGTGGACAGGTTTCATGGAGTTTCCAGACTAACTCAGACTGCAAGAAGGACAGTGCCATTCACTTCTAAAATAATTGGCCAGTGAAAACCTTATGAAAAGCAATGATTATTAATTATTCCTTAAGGAATGTTTAATCTACAATTTAAAGAAGAGCAGAAATGTATTGTGTGTTGTGAATTTATTCACACCAATTGAAAATGCTTTCTTATTAGTTGTTCAGTAATTTGCCTACATTTTTTAATTTGGTTAATAGGGATATAAATTACAAGACCCATTCCCTCTACCCTTACCTGCAGGGATATGTAAGTAGCATTCAAAACAACTTTTCTGTAAGAAGACTTCGCAGCTCCCACATTATATGTATCTTCCAGTTCTAGAACCCCCCAAATAATGAGCCTTTCTATTGGAGGAATATCTGTGTCTGCTACAATCCATGTTCCTGTAAAACAAAACTTCAGTATAAGACATATAAAATAATCCGTACACTACATCCTACAGGGAAAACACCAACAAACTTATCAATGAGCCTTGGTTTTTGAAGTTTGTGATTCATCATCCCACAAAATGACTAGTTTCAGTTTCTCCAAGAAAGTCTATTATCCTTAATATTCAGGTGTAAATCCACATAAAGCCCAGAAGGCTAATTTTAGTAACCAGGATATGATAGAGTCCACCCCTTTAAATTTCTTCTTTTCCCAAAGTATGCTGCATAAAGGTGGAAAGCTAACTCTTGGGACATCTGTCTGTCTTGTCACGGTGTTAATGTTAGATAAACACAAGCATTTTATTAATTTATGTTTAAGTATTTACCTTCAGGAATAACCACATTTGCTCCTGGGTGGGGTATGGTATAATTATTTTCTCGAGATGATTGCCAAAAAGAATCATTTGACCATAAACTAAAAAAAGAGAAATATTCTAATTATTATCCCTATGTATTTAATGAGTATATTCTTAGGGTTGTAGCACTAAACTAGATGTCTTGAGATGATAAAATGCAATTTAGCTTATAATTTCACCAAATAGACAAATTAATGTGCAGTTAGTAAAATACTCAACAAACATAAATTACATATATAGGTTTTTCTCCATTGAAGAAAATTTCCTTTCTATTCACCATCTGAATAACTTTTTTCTCCCACTAAATCCTTGTGACACTCTTGATTTGTCTAAAATGTAAATTATCCAATTTCCTTGTAAGGTTTTACATGGTGGAAAAATGAAATATATGTTTTATCCAATTGAAGGTTTTTATGTGTGCTATCGGGTCCGACTCGATGGCACACAACAACAACAACAACAACAACATTGCATGGAGAAAGGAAGGGAAAGATACTGTTGGTTTGATTCTGTGAAGAGAAGGGTGGCAAGGATGAGAGAATGAGTTTAAGCCACTGGTCTGGGTGTAGTGGAAGGGCATGTGTGTGTGTGTGTATATCTACAATGAAAGTTTTGTTCATGTGAAAGTGAATGGAGGAGAGAGAGTCTCCACATTTCATCACTATACCCTCTAGAAATTACCTCTTAATATAAACTCCTGAAAAGAATATTATAAAGTTTATGATATTTTCCTATTGAAAAATGTTCACAGTCAGTGGTTGCTCTCTTAACCAAGGAAAACGTTTCAAAATTCTATGATACTCATCTGGGTGCTATAAAAGGGCCAATATACAGTTTGTTCTGTTAAAATGTGATAGTTGTAAGACTAAGAAACCTGCTGCAATAAATATATTTTAATGAATGAATGAATGAACAAATTCCATTATTATTATTATTATTTTGTGCAATAGTTAATGTGATACCTATATATTTTTTAAATCTAATTCATCTAATAAATACCATTAGTGGTACTGTAGAGGACTATTAAATATCTAAATGTTCTTTTGTGATCATCATCATCATCATCATTTCTCCATAAGGACAGAAAGATACATAAAACCAGTGTTCTCCCTTACAGACAAGCAGAAAGAAAAACTACCCAAAAATTTTTAAAATATCCAAAATGTACTCTAATGCAAGGTAAAAAGTGGTATTTTACACGAGAAACAAAGATCTATACATATTCCAAAGATAGAAAAAAAATATTTTTTACTAGAAAAATTAACATAAAGAGGTAAAATATTTGAAATAAAATTAAATAAACTCTACAGTGAGATTTGACCATGAATGATATTCAAGAAAAAGAGACACCACCTGCTAAGAAAGCATTGGATTAAAGAGGAGATTTAGTTTCTGGTGCTCTACTGGATGTGCCATTAAGACATTCTTTCCTATGTAATAAGGAAATTGAGCAAGCCCTAACAATTCAGATCTAAAATTCTGAAAATCTGAGATTTCTAGTAATTTTCACACATACACACACACACAAACACACACACACTTTCTATGAGATCTTTGCATTTCCTCATCGGGGTAATTGGGAGGCTCAAGGGAAGCAATGTATGCAGAAGTGCTTTGTGACTTGCAAAGTATTGTGCAGGAGAAAGGCATTGTTAAATCACCTATGAGGGACACATGAAAGAGGGTTACATCAAGACATATAAAGGATAGTAAACCAGGAAAGGACTACATACTTGTATGTGGCTGGTCGCTTCCTGGGAGTTGGTTTTCTTGATGAGAGATCAACAGGAAAGCAGTCCTGAAGAACACAACAGTAAGCTTGGAAATTAATAGTGACATCTTTGACATCAGGATCCAGCGTCCCAGAAACAGGCTGGCTCTGGCGGAGGTCATTTCTTCCTGACACTGAGGGTGAAGCAAAAGCAGTACAAATTTACATGAGGATCAGAGTGCTTGAATCAAAGTACTTGAATGCCCCAAATCATGACATTTGTAGAAGATATTCCCTAGATAATAATGGTATAATTCAAATAGTTTTGAAGAAATTCCGCCAAAATGTACATGTCTTGTTGAGAAGCACACAATCAAAATATCTTGACAAAAATAGGTACTTTAGAACTTCAAATAAGTATTTATTCTTAAATATTTTATTTTTCAAAAATAAATAATAAAAACAAAATGAAAATACAGGTCTGCTTCTGTGGTACACATTTCTTCTTCCATGAAATATAAGTGTTGGGACCATGAGTAAGAGTGCTAGTGTCATCTCCAGGTGGAAAAAATACATATTTTTAATTTAAGTCAAAGCTTTCTTGAGAATAAATTCAGTCTCCAGTCCTTTCATTAAACATGCATTTATTGAATCCTGTTACATTCAGGGCACTGTATAACATGTTGTTAGGTGCCATTGATTTCAAACACATAGTTTAAAATAGGTCCTGATTTGAAACACAAAGCTGTCCATTAAGTAATTTTTCTCATCTTTTAGAAAAAGCACTAGTTAAAAATAATCGCCTCTGTCTAGTGAATACATACCCAAGTAGTATAGAGTACTAGTGTTTGCTTCAAGGTGCCAGTCTCCATTCTTGCTAGTATTCCAATTCAATGGGTTTGAAGAGGCATTCCTCATATCAATAATATTAAACATATCAGGATTTTGAGTGAAATTATGAGATATGATTACATAATCTTCTTTCTATAAAAGTTTGCATCAAAATATTACTTGTTTCATGTGTTAAAACTTTGTGTAATATACATTAATTTTATCACATAAAATTAGCCCCTGTATTATATTAAAATTTAAAGTATTTGTTTTAATTTTGTTTCCATCTTGCCTTTATTTCACATTTTACTTATTAACATTTGACGTGTCTATGGCAATTATGCTAGCTGTAGTACTAAGGCAATGGAAAGATTAATCAGTTAAGACTCACCTAGGGGATCTCTTGATGGATACATAGATGGATAGATGATAGAGTATGTTTGCCCACATGTGTGCACATGTGCACACATATACACACAAACATGCATTCTGATATAATGACCTGATACCTGGACTCCTCAAGGGCAAAGGGCCAATAAACTGTGTTTTGTTGATCTTCAACTCCCTAAAATGTTTCTTAAATTTTCTGGGGAGTTTGTAGTTCAAGCTGGCACCTCTCTCCAAACCTTTATATCCATAGGATAGCTTACTGAATGACAAAGGGATAGGTTTATCTTTGAGATTGTTATGGTAGGAATCTTATTAATACCAAGTTAACACATTGGGTAATTCTAAATAATGTGGTAGGCATTATGAGTAATATAATGATTGATACTACAGTCTATACTCCCTAAACATTCCCAGTCCACTAGAGAAGGCATATGTATTAATAATTAAAATATAAGGTGATGAATAAATAAGAAAATAAAGTGGGTTCTGGAATAATGCTGCTGAATTCAAATCTCAGTTGTGCCACTTACTAGCTATGCAATTGTGGATAAGTTTCTATCCTCTTTGAACTTCTGTTTCCTCATGTGTAAAAATGAGGATATTGCTAATTCACAGGTAGTTTTAAGGATTTCACTACATAGTAAGTCATTAGCAAACATGAATTGAAATCTCAGAAACAACACAAGCTAAAGAACCAAGTTAGAGAATTGGAGAATGTTCTATTTCTATAATGTTGGAAAACATGCAAAAGAATGCTAGGCATTGTTTTTGGCTGCACTGATATGGAGTGGAAGTATAAGAACATGTATGAGCATTCAGATCACCTGATTCAGGTGCTGGTTACCATTATAGGTGGAGACTGAGAAATGAAATCAGGGTAAGTTGTACAAGGGACTTCTGTATGTATATTTTCCTTAAAAAAACTACAGTAAATATTCACAGAATGTTAGCTTCAGAGAGAGCTAGGCAGTAGGCACACAAGAGTTGGCTTTTTCTATAGTTTTCTGAATGCTTGATATATTTCATAATACAAATAATAAAGTGCTTAACTGATGTCTAAGATATTATAAACAATAAATGTTAGCTATCATATGGCAACAATAACAGAGGCACAAACAGTACTATGGGAATATGGCAAAATGAGTGCTTATATGTAAAAAAAACAGAACAAAACCAACTGCCATTGAGTCAATTCCAATTCACAGCAATGCTGTAGGACAGAATAGAACTTCCCCATAGAGTTTCCAAGGCCATAAATCTTTAAAGAAGCATACTGCCACATCTTTCTCCCATGGAGTGGCTGGTGGGTTCAAACTGTTGATAGTTAGCAGCCAAATACTTAACCACTGCGCAACTAAGGGTCCTTATCAGATTCTCAGTGGAAGCTTTTCTTGACTTGCTGCTCAGAGCAGAGGTGATTTAGGGGCAGGTCAAGAAAGGTATGCAGGACTTTGATAGATGGTTATTGAGGCCAGGACATCCTGACTCTAACAACTGATACGAGTGAAAACCCAAGTGTGGGTTGTGTTTGAGGAATATGCAATTGTAATTATTAGCAGACAGTTTTATGCCTCTCTGTTTACCTTAAATCCATAGAAGGTTGATGTATATGATATGTTATTTATATGATCTACACCTTTAAAATACCAGTTAATATGATTTGCATTTGGAATCAGAGCCATCCATCCTGATGTATGAGTCAGTCGTTTCTTCTGAAAAGGAACAATGCTTGTGCCTGTAGGAAAACACAAAACAAGACGCAAATAACAGCAGTCCCAACTCATAGAAAACTATCCCTTTTATGTGCAAGTGCAAGTGCACATAAATATTGGTCTAGTCTATGGTATTCTCTAAAGAGGTCAGCGTAACATTTCATTACTTATCTTCTAAATGTCTTCATTTCAGTGAAGGTCCCAAATGTTTAATATTACATTTAACTGAAACATAAAATGCTTTATCACTTGGAATTTTGAATTGAGATGGAGTTTTTGTTCTTATAGAAAGACAGAATGGACATATAACATGTCTATGGCAATTATGCTGTAGTACTAAGGCAATGCAAGGATTCATCAGTTAAGACTCACTATTACTAACTTGGAAGGAAGGTTGGGCAATGTACTTCTGTAGAGATACTGCCTTGGAAACCCAAGGAGGGGTCACTATGAGTCAGGTCTGACTCGAAGGCACATAACAACAACAACAACAACTACTACTAAGATAAAAGTGCTTTAAAATATGAATGCTACTCTTTAAGCACCATTGATCTAAAATTTAATCCCATTTCCATTCTTTTAAGAATTGAATTCTTCACAATCCTTGATTTACAGTGTATGTAAATATAAATTCTGGTTCTTTATTAGATTTTCCTGTATCTGTTGAACTAATCAAAATCCACAAAGATACTAATGAAAATTTTTATTTAGTCTTAAGGATCTAGGCTACAACTAGACCTATCTCTTAGCACTAAATTTGTGAATAACATACTTGGAACCTAGACTACCTATTAAGGAAATATGTATACATAACTAGTAATGCTTTGAAAATAATACACATAATTTAGTAATGCTTTGGTCATGAAAGCATGCTTGACATCTTCAATAGAAGATTTTAAAAGGTCCTGTATAAAGTAAAAGGTCTGTGATTAATTGATCCTGTTCTTTTTTTCTCTCTCTCTGTCTCCAAGTTGATTAAATTTTATGTTAAATTAGCAAAGCCTTCCCTTAAAAATTTTGGAGGAAGAAGCTAGCAGCAAGTTTATGAAATTAATAGTTATTGATTTTCTTTTGGGGATAGACAAAAGAAAATTTTAAGGGGGTGGATATCAAGGGAAAAGAAATTAATTCTTAGGCTTATAAGTTAGTCTTCTTTCTCAAAGGGCCTTGAGCGGAGCCAGTAAAAGCTCTTAATACAAAAACCCCTGAAAAGTACAAGAAGAACTATAATAATTTGTTTACTATGTATTTGATGATGGTTCAGCAAATATCCGTTCATTGTTCTCTCTTCCTGAGGGCAGAGTAGATGGGCCTACTGTTGGTCAACTCTTTTGGCCAATGGCATATTAGCAAGATGTTCTCAAGCACTGACTCGAAAAGAGGTTGTTGAGGGTGTTTGACCTCTTGAGCCTCACAACGCAATGAAAGAGCCTTCTACTCATTACAGTAGCAGCTGTTCCTTCCTCCTGAGTCCTGCCAGGAGCACAAGTGGAGCAGAACTGAACCTACCCACAAACACCTCTGGAGTTTCAGAAATAGTATCTTTATTGTAGCAAATAGATAAATCAACACAGTCTCTGGTGACTGGTATGCCCCTACTCATCTAGCAAATACTCAATCAACAAAGAAAAGAAAAATCATTTGCATTTGGTGGGAGGAACAATAGTATACTTTCACTGTATTTCCCTAAGGGTCATGTCACCTTTCCTGCTCTCTATGGTAATTTGTCCGGGGCTTCCTTAATCAGCAGAATATCGCGGCGATCCATCAATTTACCCAGTGTTTCTCAAGTACCCAAATGAGTTTGTTATTTGTTTCTGCCTGGACTCTGACTGATAAGTTTTGTGCATCATCCAACATTCTATATCAAGTGAAAACTCAAGAAGATGATCACAAAAATTTAGGAAAACATATTCAAATTAATGGCCTAAACTCATATTTCACTTACCAAAAGAGTCTGAGAGAACCACATCCTTTTCTAGCAGAGATACTGGAGAAGGCTTATTGAACGCTAAACGGTGAAAACTGACAGAGGCATCGCAGACAGACCCGGGGAATCCAATGCTCCACTCGGGTTCTTGAGTGCAGTGAGAAGGATCCAGCAACGAGCTGTGAGGGATGACGGTGTGTCCTTTGTGTCCTGGGAAAGGAACACGAACCAGGTGGTTTCTATCTGCCCTCATGAACTGTCTGCAACATAAAAGTACTGTGACCCATAGAGCCACTGACAAAATCCAAAAGTCTTGATCTTTTTTTCTTTTTTCTTTTTTTTGGCATGGAGCAAAGGACCACATACAGACACTGTTCAGCTGACTCCTTGGTGAAGGACCTTATTGTGGGTGTGGTGGACATAGGAGATTTGCAGTAACGAGAGCCAGAATAGATGATGGGAAGTGGATTTCTAACAAGTTACAAATCTGTGTATCAACAATACACAGAAGGATTCAAATTCAGACAGTCTCACCGAACCTGCACCAATGCACTGTTAACTAACATTAAAAATCTAAGCTGAACTATGTAAAACAATAGATTACACAAAGTTTTACATGTCAAAAATACCTAAATATCCTCCTTCTTTAAGCCACAATAAGAGCAGAGACAGAAGTGAACGACTAGAGTTGGGAACTCAGTCTACTTAAATATCAAGATGAGCATTCTTTCATCTTTCAGAGTCTTTCAGAAGAAAATACTCAAGATCTGTGGGCTTACTTGTGTATCGTCTCTCTCTCTCATACAGTGTTATGCAGAACACATTTTACACACACAAATCCCTGCTATCTTATTCAGACAAGCCTTTATCCTTATACATTTGTAAAAACTCTAAATTCTAGAAACAATATTTACAGAAAATATTACATACTCTGAACTTGAAAGGCTAAAATGTTTGAGTTGAAAGATACTGAGTTTTGTACTAGAGTTAACATATTCTTTGAACTAATTCTAAATTTAACATGAAAAGAAAATGGTCAACAGCAGGCCTGTAACTTACTTCGGCCCAGCAGAATATTTTAGTGGTATATACCTGGCCTGTCTATATTTCTTGTGTAAGTAAATTTGGAATTTATGGGTATATGGGATATGTCTAACTAGAGAAATTGGGTACTCATGTAAGCAGTTTCTTATCTATACAATTAATGGAGTATAAGATGGAAGAGTTTCAAAACTGAAATGGTTTCCTTTTGTGATCAATGTTTCCATAAACATTGCTCAAAATTTGCTGTTATCCCAAATCAAAGTGCAAATGCAAGAGCAAGAGGACATATTCAGGGATGGTGTCTGATAGTCTGTGGCTCCTCCAGGAAAGAATGTCTCATCTGTGCCTGCAGTTTGCCTATATCCTTTATCGTCATAATATTGGGTACCAGGTTAGATCTGTGATTCATGTGCATCTTCTCTGATAAACCAAGTTCCTATGATCACAAAACACATATTTCTCATGTATTTCATCACAAATTAAAAAATAACATTACCTGTAAGTGAACCATCAACATCAATCAGTACCATTTCATGTTCCCATCGAAATCCAGCCTTGTTCGGTGTGTTAAAATACTGGATGTCAACAAATTTTGCACTCCAACCTCCACATCTGTCATTACAAACGCCAGTGATGGATGTCACTCCTAAAGCTACACAGCTGGGACGGTCAAAGTTCATAAAACGTACGGAAGATACAGTCAAGCCCGCACTGAAAGGGAGACGCAGGCCTTTCATTGTGCAAAATGCAGACCCCATTCCCAGTGCGTCGAGATGACCAACTATTTTGGCATTTTTAATCACTGCTCCATTGGTCTCACCCCATCCTCCAACATAAGGTGCCAGGATCCTCTTGGTCTCGATTCCAGCCTCATAATTATTTACCATCACAAAGTTATGGAATTGAAGGGCACCACCATGGACCCATTCAGCTCCTTTTTGACAGTTCCAAGTGGTAAGTGAACTAAATATTGCAGGCACTGGCACTGTAGAAGTGCAAGATCCTGTTTGCATGGGGAAATATTCTTCAAATATCCACATTCCAAACCAACCTTGAGAATGAACAGTGTTGTTAAAGAATTCTCCAAGAGGAATTCTTTTTTGGCAAGTGTTTCGGTCATAGGAAGGTCCATCTGGGTGGTTATTCATTCGGTACCAAAAGCCAAAGTGAGTACCACCAGCGGCTGCATTGTGTCGTATGGTGTTGTTTGGGTTGGTTACCCAGAATGCAGCTGGGGTCACATCATCATTCAGAAGGCTAGTACTTTGCTGTACAAAGACTGCCAAGTTATACTGCAGGATATTGCCATGTTCGATACCATCTTCTATAAAAAATGCTCCTCCCTTGATATCGTAGATAATATTCCTCTCAATCAGAAGGTGATGTGTGTTATGGATAGTAACAGCTCTGTTATAGGTCTGGTGAATTGCACAGCCTCTTACATAAGACTTAAACTGCAAATCTCCCAACAGGTGCCAATGTATTGGATATCGTCCCAACCGGAAAGCCTGGCCAGCATGGAATACCTATCAGGTCCAGAAATCACAGCTATTTACTGATCCACATAGACTCAGCATTTGTCTAGTTCATATTTTCCTGCTCTAAAATATCTCCAATTTTATATTAACTCTTAATACACATCTATCTTTCATATTATTTACATTTCTCTTTTGAAAATGTTAATAGACTCCCCAACCTACCTCTTTTTTCATAGGTACCATGTGTAACAGCCATTTTTTTTAATCAAATGAATTAATGAATTAATAAATGAAAGCCATCTTTGATTTTCTGCCTTTCACTTTAGTGTATTACCAACCTTTTGTGTTGTGAAAATAAAACTGAAAATACGTCCTTTCCCCCATTTGATTTTTATCTAATAAGAAGAAACATTTATTGCTTACCATGTGCCAGATACGTGCTGTGAAATTTATGTGAATGATCACATTCTTACCACAACCCTATGAAGTAGCCACTGTCACTAACTTCATCTTATGGGTGAAGAAACAGAGCTTTAGATCAGTTTTGATCACAAAACTCCATGTAAGTCCAGATTGGTCTGATTCTAGAGTTGGTGGTCTTATTAACCACTATGTGCTTTCTTTCAATAGGTCTGTGATCAATAATCAAATACCTATACACATTGCCACTGGGTCAAATCTGACTCATAGCAAGCCTATAGGATAGAGCAGAACTGATCCACAGGGTTTCCAAGGTTACAAACCTTTACAGAATCAGATGGCCACATCTCTCTCCTTTGGAGTGGCTGGTGGGTTCAAAGCACAAACTTTTCACTTAACAGCTGAGCTCTTAATCACTGCACCACCAGGGATCCTTATATAGTGGATGTCAGTGTGTGTGTGTGTGTGGGTGGGAGGGGGTAATGTGGGTGTATATGCCTGTTTGTCTAGTATGATCCCGTGGGAGAGGAAAGAAAAAATTAGGGCCTCTGTTTACTTTAACTCTTAATTGAAAAATAAAAATTAAGCATTACAAATATTTAGTATACAGCTTGACCCTAGCACCAATACTCAGTGCACACTCAGATGTGGTGTGTGTAGGGACAGCAAATCCAAGAGGAGAGGGGTTTCACAACATGGAGGCAGTGGCTCTGTCACCCTAACTGGTAAATTTGCATTCAAGGATTATTGGATTATCAGATGTATGGACTTTACTATCTACTTTTTATTAGATTAATCCTCACAAAATGAGCCAAGGGCTTAAAATGATTCCTGAAATGAAAGTGTAAATTGAAGATAATAATAATGCAAGCAGAAGCAAACAAAAATAAACTTGGAAGAGTTAACATTTCTTCTACTTTTAGTAGGAGCTCTTTGTCAGCTGTATTTTGAAATTAAACAAACAGAAAAAGAAACAATGATGATTAATCACATAGAACAAAAGCCTGTTGTCCATCACCTAAGTAGATTTGATGCCTTCAAATATTAACTAATTCTTAAAAAAATGTACTTCTTTTATAAATAAATAAATACACATACACCAAGGGTGGTGTGTTTACAGAATCGTTACTGAGAGGAACACATTAGAAAAGGTCTCACTTTTAGTTCTTTGGTTCAAGATTTTTTATTCATTTACTTCATTTACTAATTCATTTCTCAAATACCTATTTTTATTTATCACTAAATAAATTAATTGTTCTCTTTTGTTCTTTCTTTCATGTTAACCACCCATTATACCTACCCTTCCATGAAGAGCTCTTGTGGCATAGTGAATAAGGCACTTGACTGCTAACCTAAAGGTCAGCAGTTCAAATCCACCAGCCACTCCGCAGAAGGAAGACTGGGCAATTTACTTCTGTAAAGATTTACCACCTTGGAAACCAAAAGGTGGGGAGGTCACTATGAGTCAGAATTAACTCGATAGCAGTGAGTTTGGTTTGGTTTACACCCTTCCATATTTTATCTTCTAAGGGTCACTTTGGAAGTAGATTGCCCAACCTTCCTTCCAAGGAGTGGCTGGTGGGTTTGAACCACCAGCCTTCTGGTTAGCAGTCAAGCGCCTTAGGCACTAGGCTACCACAGCTCCTGACAATAACAACAACAAGGGTATACAGAGCTTTCATTTCAGTAAGGAGAAATGCTTCCATGAAAAAACATTAGCTGTATGAACTGGATGTAAATTTATACTCCTAAGCAAAAGCAAGGCTCTTGCAGTATGGCTGTGCCTGGCTGTCCTGCCTCACTTTCCGGAACCCCATGTTATCGATCTCATGTGCTGGGCTTCAGGCTCCTTTTCCTTTGATTCCTTTGCCACCACAGCTCTCTGCTTTGCTTTGTAACGCCTGCCATACTCATTCCATTCAGACTTTGTTTTCATCAGGGAGACTGGAGCAGGTGCTTGCTAATGGTGTTGGTCTATCACACATTGCTGGTCTTCCTCCCATTTTCTCCCTTCCTTCCCTCTCTTTCCTCCCTTTCCCTCTCATTCCTCCCGGACTCCTTGCTTCCTTCCCTCTCTCCCTTCTTTTCTTCTTTCCTTCTTTTTTTCTACTGGATTTCTGACTGAAACTAAGGTGAAACCTGGGTATATAGACTGCATATGAATAAGATGCAGAGATGCTCCTAATCTCTTAGGGAAATTGATATATTCTTACATTTATTTATATAAATACTATAACATATAAGATTATAATTGAGTATATTAATATTGTTTACTTATCTGTTTCCCCTACATGATTATAAGTAACATCTGGCAAAAGTAGGAGCTCAATACCTATTTGTACAGATAAGTGCTGGCAAACCACTATGATTTAATAATAATGCCTCTTACCTCTACATATTCTATTCTTCCAGTTACCATATTAGCACCAGGGACAGGAGCATGAAACATAATGCAGCCTCCAAACTGGTCACTTCCTATTTCTTCTCCAAACTTTCCTTGGAGACATGTCTGTGTTGCAAATTCACCTTTAAAAATATTTTGAAATCATCATAAAAGAAAAACTCCTTCATAATCTTCTTATTAATATTAATATCATAGTATTTTCCTGATCTCTAATATTTTATTCGTGTATGATTTATATATGGTCTCAATCTCATCCTTTATATAAGCACAAGAAGAAAAAGGAAGGGAGAGGGTGGAATTGAGGTATTTATTCCCCTGGATCTCTCCCTGAGATGAGAAAGTTTAGGTGGACTCCTGCAGCCTCAACCAAAGGGCACAACTTCAGGTAGCCCTCTGCCTACAGCTGTCTCTGTCTCTCGATCAACACAACTATGCCTTCCTGTCACCAACTCAGGTGTAGCTGTGGTGACAGCATCTTGCTTTTACTGGCCCTTTGAACAGCTCTGTGGTAACTGTTCTCTGGTGGCCAGAGATGCTATTGGAGGATGCTACAATGGAACTGGGTTCCCTGATCTCAGTGGGAAAAATGGGAACTAAACTGGTAGAAGCCAGGAGGGGCACTTAACCATCAGATATAAAACCATATAAAAACTCTGGAGCAAGCCTAGTTGCTCCTGAGTTGATTCCGACTCATGGCAACCCTGTATATGTTAGAGTGGAACTGTGCCCATAGGGCTTCCAATGGCTGATTCCTCACAAGTCAGAGGAGGCCTGTCTTCTGAGATGCCTCTGGGTGGACTCCAATCACCAACATTTCAATTAGCAGCCTGGTGCGTTAACCTTTCGCACCTTGGAGGGAGGGCATCAGATATAAAGGTAAGCTTAATAACCACGCTAATTACAGGTCAGAGGGATAATCAAAGTGTTCTGACCTGTAGTGATCTGTGGTGACAGCTGACTGATCCTGGAGTTCCAAAAAATGAAATAGATGAGTAACACACTACGGTGCTCTTTGGCATAAATATAGGGTGCAAATCATATGCTCTTGGGGGATGAAAATCTAACTCAAGAGGAATGAATACATAATCTAAAGCCCAAGAGAAAATCTACTGCTTCTTTTTTACTTCCTGGACCCAAGCCAATTCATGGACCCTGAAGGCCTCCTTAAAAACACCATTAGCATTTCAAATTTTCAACATTTAATTATACTTACAAGAAAATAAGTTAGAGTTTGAAACTAAAATCTTGTATCTCATTATAAACCAACTAAATTTTACACATTTGCAGCAGGATTATACTAGCCACACTATCGCTGATAAAACTACCTGCGTCAAATCCATCAGGACATGCTGGAATTTTGTTATTCCACTCCACATTACTAGATCCTCTTATTAAGATATTTCTGGTCAGAATTCCAACTTCTGCTCTTGCCTCAAACAAAGTTCCATCAGGGAGTGTAACAGTGATTCCTAAGTGTGTGTAATGCAGTGGCTTAGTTAGCGTTACGTTTATGCCATCAGCAGATACAGATTCTATGGTCCTTTTTTCATTCTCTCCTTGACTGTGTCTGTAAAGATTTTAACAAAAATTTTCAAATATAATACAGACATTACATATTTTTGGCGTATTTATTTTATACTATTTTGAGAATACATTTTTTTAAAGATAGGAAATATTTTTATGATATACAGTATTTTGAAGATGTATTTGTAGGTACAGTTTTAATTTTCCTTGTTGTTGTTATGTGTCGTCGAATCGGCCGACCTCTCCTTGGGTTTCTGAGGCAGAAACTTCACTATGGAAGTAGATTGCCCCATCTTCCTTCTGAGGAGTGGCTGGTGGGTCTGAACCGCCAGCCTTCTGGTTAACAGTCAATTGCCTTAGGCACTATGCCACCAGAGCTCCCTACTTTTCCTTAGAGTAACAATAAATTTTATAAATGCATTTCAATTTAACTGAATAATTACTTCCCAAGTATTACATTTGTGCATAGTCTTCAAAGTTTTCAAAAAAAACATAAGATTTAGAAGTAAATAGCAAAACGAGAAAAACATTCATGGTAAATATGATGCCTAAGGACTACACCTTTCTGAACTATTACACAAACCAGTAAGAAAAGTGCTAGTATCCAATGGATTAATGGGCGAAGAACATGAGAACTCCCATTTCATCCAACTAATTCATCTAAATTTATTGAGCTGCTCCCAAGTCTGGACATCTGTTAGGAGCTGAAAATTTAAAGACAGCACAGATACAATCTCTACCCTCAAGAATTTCAGTTTATGTAGGAAGACTAAAAACCCAAACCTATAGTGATCCTGTAGGACTGAGGAGAACTGCCCCATAGGATGTCCATGGATGTAAATCTTTATAGAAGCAGACAGCCTCATCTTTCTCCAATAGAGCAGCTGGTAGGTTTGAACCACTAACCTTTTGATTAGCAGCCGAATGCCTTAACAACTGTGCCATCAGAGCTCCTTTATATATTAAGAGTGACATATAAACAATCAGTTATAATATAATCCATTATAATAAATGAGAAACCTCATTTATTATAAGGATATTGTAAGGTATATTATATTGCCACCAAGAGTTTGTAATAATTAAAGAAAATACTTAGGATACAGTTATATATTTAAAAATTAAGGTTCCAAATTATGTATACCATATGAGCTTAATCATGTAAAAATATTAGTATTACAAAGAACTAAAAGTAGAAAACTGATTATATAGATGGTAGGATTATATTTTCCACTTATACTTTTTCCAGATTTTCAATTAAAAAAAGGAGAAAAGTAAAAAATACATTACAAGTCTTTTATGTCATATGATTTCATTCAGAAGATAAAGCATAAACATCTCATTCAGAGAAAAAACTAAAGTCCTGTCATTGGTTTACAAAGTCAGTGCAGTAATTCTCAACTTTAATTGCACATTAGATTTACCTGGAGTTTTGAATAAATACTGTTGCCCAGGCTCTGCCCCAGAACCAACTAAATCAGGATCTCCAGTGACTAGGCATCCATATTCACTATTAAAAGCATCTAACAGGACTGCAATATGCAGGCAAATTCAAACTCTCTGTGAGCTGTACTCCTTCCTCATCCATGACTCCTTCACTACTCTATTCCAGGGCCCTGGATCTTTTGCTATTCCTTGGAACCACAGGCCAGAGCCTAAGACCCCCTCCCCCTGATATCCTCAGGGCTCCCTCCTTGTCCTCCTCTAGGTTCTGCTCAAACATCACCTTGTCAGGGAGGCTTCTCCCGACTCCTACTGTATACCAAAGGTGACCCACCTCTCCCTATATTGTTGCTGTTTTTCTGTGCCGTCGAGTCGGCCCCGACTTATAGCGACCCCTCCTTGGGTTTTCGAGGCAGTATCACTACAGAAGTAGATTGCCCAACCTTCCTTCTGACCTTGCCTTTATTTTTTCCATAGTATCTCTGACATATTATATCTTTTCTTGCTTATTAATTTACTGTCTAGTTTGCTATAAACTCTAAAAATAAAAGAACTTTGTTTTTTCTACTATTCTGTCTTAAATGCCTAGAAAAAGTGCTGGCAAGTAACAGACACTAGCCAGATTTAACTTAATGGGAACTAAAACAATAACAAATAGTTTTTAAATTAATAAATGAAATGAACACTCAGAAAACAAATGATTAAGAATCAGAATGAGAGGTATAGTAGATACAGATTCTTACAGGAGGTCTGAGACTGGAGATACCAAAATGAGCTGGAGAGGTTGAGAGAGTTTTCACAGTAGGGCTAGCACTCAAGTCAGATCCCAAGTAGCCAGACCTCTCTGTTGGAAAAGCTAGTGGAGGGAGATATTGTAAATAGAATTCAGGGCACACAGGCTTCAAAGAAGCAAAGACCTGCACTTAGAAGGATATAAAGGTTGATATAAAGGGTATGCATATTCATTTGTAACTTTTAGGATCACATCAAGAACCTAATTTTAGGTTAGTGGTTTTCAGCTGAACACCCATGAGATGGATACTTGACAATGGGTGTAGACATTTTCAGTTGTCACAATTGGTGGGTACTATCGATACCTAGGGAACTCTGGTAGCCTAGTGCCTAAGGCACTTAACTGCTAACCAGAAGGCTAGAGGTTGAAACTCACCAGCCACTCCTCAGAAGGAAGGTTAGGCAATCTACTTCCATAGTGATACTGCCTCGGAAAACCAAGGAGGGGTCGCTATGATTCAGGTCCTACATAACAACAACAACCAATACTTAATGCATACCTAATGTTGTCATGCATCTACAATACACACACACACACACAATGTTGTTGTTAGCTGCCTTTGAGTTGGCCCCCATATCATATAGAATCCACATACAAGAGAATGATACGCCACCACTTTTGCGCCATCCCCGTGATTGGTTGTGGACCAATAGAGTTTTCATTGGGTGATGTTCAGAAGTAGATCCCCAGAGCTTTCTTCCCGGTAGTCTACTGTAGACTGAAAACTTGGCTAAAACCTGTTCAGCATCACAGCAACACTGACAGATGGGTGGGGCTGCACGTAACATGAATTGGCCAGTAATCAAACTGGGTCTCCTGCGTGGAAGGTGAGAATTCTACCACAGAACCAAAATGCTCCCGCCAACAAAAAATTATCTGGTCTAAAATGTCATTTGTGCCAAGGTTGAGAGACACTGACAAGGAGAAGCCATTGGAGGTTTCTGAGCAGGGAAAATAAATGACTAACAAGTGGTCCTAACTTTAAAGGGACATTCAATGCCTGATTGTACATTTTCTACTAAACAGTGGTAAGCTTAGTGGACTTCCTACTGTGTCTTCCTGTCTTTCCTTTTGAGTCTTCTCCTTTGGCAAATTCTTTTCTTCGTTTAAATGCCAGTTTAAATGACATGTATAATAGAGTAAAAGTCACCTCTCTGAACTTTGCCACCTTTCTCTGGACTCCCAGTACACTTTGCATAATCACTGTTAGCACTCATTTACTACACTGCAGTCCTGTAACTTATCTACTTTGTTGTCCCTTCCACTAGTTTGTTCCTCTATGAAAGGGACACTGTTTAATCATTTTGTATGCTGAGTATTTAGAACAATGCCTGTCACAACTTAAGAACTGTTTTGGAATGATTGATCAAATTACTGCAGAATGAATTAGTGTGGATTAGTAAGAAGAGGAATGGAGCCCAAACAGGAAGCTGATGTAATATTCCAGGTGAGTGGCTGAAGAGTCTAAATTAAATTGAGAGCAGAGAAAAATTATGGAGGAGACATTTCAAGGGCCAGAACCAAGAGAACTTGGTGATGTGCAGAAAGTAAAGAATAATGACAATTAGAAGGGCATTAGGAAAGCTATTATGAAATGGTGGGGAGGAGTAGCTAAAGAAGACAGGCAACCAAAGAGAGTTGTTTTTAAAAGATGGTGGGGAGGATGGGAAGACCTTTAAAAGGTGGAGATTAAGGATACTAGAGATAGGGATGAATTCATAGTACAAGATCTCACAAGAGACACAAAGAGTTTAGGTAGGCCTGTCCTGAATTCCTTTTAATTGAGATGATACAGCAATGTCTTCAGAAAAACCTCTTAAGAATAATTTGTATGTGTTGTATGCACCTAAACACACCTTTTCTTCCTTCTTAAATTATTTAACACTTATGTATCATTTATTTTGAGCCAAATTCTGTTCTTGGTACTTTATACACACTAACTCATTTAATCCTTATAATAATTCCCTGAGATAAATGCTAATATCATTCTAATTTTATTGATGTATCAAACAAAACCAAACTTACTGCCATCGAGCCAATTCTGACTCATAGTGAATCCCACTGGGTTTCCAAGGCTGTAAATCTTTATGGAAGCAGACTGCCTTATCTTTCTTCTGCAGAGTGGTTGGTGGGTTTGAACCACCAACCTTCTGGTTAGCAGTCAAATGCCTTAAGCACTGTGCTACCAGAACTCCTTTTCCCAAAGTACAAAGTAAGCGGTGAAATAATATGGTCATGTTGTTGTTGTTATGTGCCATCAAGTCGGACCCGACTCCTAGCGACCACTCCTTGGGTTTCCGAGGCAGTATCACTAGGGAAATAGATT